GGAGCCTTCCAAGCGCAGGAGAAGCAGGTAGCCTGGAGCCAGCTGGGGTGGAAACCCTGGTGGTGCAGACAGGCAGGGGAGGTGGCCGTGCCCTGGGTCTGCTGTCCTCAGGAAACCTGGGCTATCCTGCAGTGACATGCTGTGGAAAGGGGACTTCAGAAAGGCCCTGCCAGGGGCCAGGCCGTATTTCCGGAGCCCTAACCCTGCCAGTGTGTGGCCTGACTCAGAGCCACTTGTGCCTCTGCTGACACCAAACCCAGGGGCCTCCCCATCCCTGTCTGTCCTCCTCCCTTTCCTTCCCAGGCTGCAGCCATTCCTCGCTACATGTCAGGGCTTGCCCGAAAAGACCCACCTTCCTCTCTGACCAGCGAGCTAGAATTCCTGTCTGGGTCTCGTGACTGAGTGATCATTTCTTTATATCCTCCTTCAAAGGTTTAGCTTGAGGCCAAATAAACCCACGAGACCAAAACCCTGAAACGCTTATCCACTAATAAGTGAGTTCATACATGGAAAGTGCTTCAAACAGTACCTGGCCCACAGAAAGCTTGATGTAAATGATCAGAGTTGAACATTAAGACGCTGGTTAACTAGACTGGGATACATTAGGAAAAAGGAAGACTATACAGCCACGAAAATGATTATCTGCATGTTTACTGACATGAAAAGATATTCATGGTCTATTGCTCAGTGAAAAAGATTCTAAGATTATAATACAGAAAACATTTTAATATTTACACAGTCATATAGCTATAGGCATTAAAATATCTACATGGGACATTAACAATGTCTCTAGCTTTCTCTTTAAAAATATTTTCTTTTTAAACCTTTTCTACACTAAATATATATTCTTGTGCAATACAAATATTTAAAGATATAAAAGTAATCACCCTGCTGTTTTTTTTTAAATTTATTTTTTTAGCTGAGCCATCTTGCCACCTGTTGGCAGTTTAGCACTAGCTCAGCTCAGGCTGGGAATCGAACCGCTAGTTGCTCAGAGCTCGCACTCTTGAGTGAGCTCTTAACCAACTGAGCCACTCGGCCAGCCCCCTGCTGTTTTTTTAAATAAAATAGGGTCTTTATATATTGTAGGAAAAGAAAACAAGTTATCATATACAAGCTTAAATTAAAAAAAATTGTTTTTGAAGAAGGCTAGTTTTGATCTGTGGTTTGAAGATAATAATGGTTTTCGAATGGCAGAGAAGGAAGGGGGTCTTGTTCAAAGTCCTCAGGTGGAAACTGGCAAGGGTGTATGAGTGTGTGTATGTGCATATATGTGCATATGGGTACTTGTGTGCCTGTTTTGGGGGTGAGGGTGAGAAGCAATTCACTTACCCAGAGCAAAGAAAGAAGTTGAAGGACAGTCTAGGGAATCTGAGCTTTATATTCCAGGTAAAGAACAGCCTGGGGTTTCTTAAGTAAAGCAACAGATCCCTAAAAACGTGTTGGAGGATGCTGATTCCAACTGCCTGTATAAATGGAATTGCACAGGGAAACAAGCTCTGAGGTGGCTGCAGAGTTTCTGCTTGAAGTAACATGGCCCCACTGGAATGCGAACTATGGAAACGAAATGACAGGAGCAGATCTGAACACCAC